ACGATATCTTTGAGTACTGTGTGGGCGCAGGTCGCCAGTATGCTGTATCGCTGTTTGCATGTGTGACAAGCGTGAATAAGCCGAGTCTGATTGCACTGGTATCGGAGCAGGTACCTGCTGTTCCACGCGCGCGATGTGTGCAGGGCAGATGCGCCTTAGCTGAAGTGACCGCCGGAGGAGGCAGTCCGCCATAGCGGACCTCGAGGTGGAAGAAGACCCCGCGCACCTGCAACAAGAAGACCACGAGAGAGAGAGAGAGAGAGGGAGAGAGAGAGAGATGAGTGGTACAAGATTGGTTACTTACCTGCTGCGCTGAAGATACCGCTACGGCGAGAGAGAGAGAGAGATGAGCGATCCAAGATTGGTTGTCACTTACCTGTAAGGCGAGACTGTGGAGTCCGGTGAAGAAGGAAGACGGCAGCCATAGCCGCGGAGCATTGACACAGAGTACCGGAGGAGAGAGAAGGGAGGACAGAGAAGGAGGGACTGAGGAGAGAGAAGAAGAAGAGTGGAAGGAGGAGATCGAAGAAGAAGACAGACATAGCCGGGGGTGTGAAAAAAAAAAAAAAAAAAAATACAGCGAAAGAGAAGAGGAAAGAAAGTGAAGGGGAAGTAGGTGGCGAGGGTGACAAATTTGAAGGTGCCGGCAGCCATAGCCGAGGTGAGGGGTTGACCGGACGTTGACCAGACCGTTGACCAGAGGGTTGACCAAGGGTTGACCGGGGGGTTGACTAGGCGTTGACCAAGGTGGTTGACCGAGCGTTGACTCCGGGTTGTCCGCGTTGACTCAGCGTGACCAAGGCGTGACCGGAGCTGCTGACCAAGATTTTGACCAAGCTGGAGTTGGTGATATCTCGTTGAGCCCTCAGCCTATCCCCTTACCCTGTGGATGTGCACTTACCCCACGGTACTTGCTGAGTCGGTCTGTTTACTCTTTCTGCATCGAGTCTCTTCTGTCTTAGGTATTAGGACTCTGTGGATGAAGGATAGGGCCTTGCTGCCAAACCTACACGGGCTTGGTAGGACCAAAGCTTTACTCTGGCATCTGGAGACCTGGGCATGAGCGGCGAGCGCTCGTTAAACTACTCGTCTAGCCCAATGACCGGTACTGACCGGCAGGTCTACTGAGTTCAGTGTAAAGGGTCCGAACTCCGAGCTGTGGGCTGAAACAAAGGCCGTCTTTAAGTGTTGAGGCCTGGTTGAGCCACTCCCCTACCGGACCTACTACAGCTGATGATCTGTGTCTGACGACTCGACTGTCCCGAGGGATACGAACCCCTCCAAGGACCGGTACAGACCAGCGGGCTGCTCGGTGTGGCACAGTAGGCTGGAAAGGCTGAGTTGTGGGCTGAAATCGCCAGAGGAGCCAAGCTGATCACGTCGTCTTGTCTGCGACGTTAAAGAATTCTTGCGGAGTTTGGGGGATCTCCTTAAATGCCTCCTAATCAGCTTTTGGTTCTGTAGTGACAGCCTTAGAGTAGTCTTGGGTTAGTAGTGACCATAGTTGACAGGGTCCTACCCTGTGGTCTTTAGGGAGTCGGTCAGTAGGTCAGTGTGTCCGGGTAGGTCTACGTGGTGAGGAGTGGGACCCTTGTTGTGCACCAACACCACGATGGATGACTATCCGATGTATGGGCTACTTGTTGGGTTCTCCCTCTGGGGGACCCTCTGGCGTCTCCTCTTCCCTCTGGGCTTCTGGCCCACTGTTGCGTGTAGAGTAGGGCCCGCTCGGGGTGGTACTTCCACCAACCCTTACACGAAGGAGGAGGAGGAGAAGATGGCCGCCATTCTGCAAGAGAAGAAGAAGAAGAAGGAGGCCAAGAAGAAGGCCTTGAAGGAGGAGCAGGCGGCCAAATTGAAGAAGATAGAAGAAGAGATGGCCAGGGAGAAGGAGAGGATACAGAAAGAAGAAGAAGAGAAGTTGAAAGAGGTGGAAGAGGAGGAATAAGATGAAACGTCATTGCAGAGGAAGAAGGGGCAGTATAGTGTCAGTAGGGATGAAGAGATGGAGAAGCGGATCTCAGAGTGGGTCGCCAACTTATCCCTGGGCGAAGAAGAAGAGGTGGCGATGTATATCTCTAAAGATGATCAGGAAGCCGCTATGAGAGCTTGGGAACCAGAAAAAGATGTTGTAAAGCGGCAGGCAATGGAAGATGAAAAGAGGATGGAATGGAAGTTGGTTGTGATGAGGGAGAAGAAGAGGAGAGTGGACGCGGCAGCGGAGGCGGCATAAGAATTAGAGGAGGTAAAAAATATAGAAGAGCAACTAGCCGCCCAGACCGAACTCCCAGGTCAAATGTGAGTCATAGCTCGAAATGTTGCACGCCTGGCACAAATTCAGGCAGAGCAGTATGACTTCAGTAGGAGTCAGCATATAGCTGTGCGTTCCATAAAGTTGGGGTTCCGGGACTTTGCTCGAGAGTTGGTAGGCGTTATAGGCACGGAGGTGGGCCACCGCCTCGACAAGACTGAGCGATTTTGTGCTGGCGCCATTGAAGGCGTCAAGGCGGCAGCCCCCAAGGAGGAGGAAGCACGTCCTCCTCGCCGGGAACCAGTCAAGGTCAAATTCCCTGATTCCTACAGTGGAAAAAGGGAAGAGAACTTTGACAATTGGGAAGCTAATGTTAAGACCTATGTGCATTTGCAACAGGTCTCCCCGGATCAGCAGGTTTTGATCGCGATCCACGCATTGAGAGATGAGGCCGCTAGTTTTGCAAGGTCTCTGGTTCGCACTGCCAACTGTAGTGACGATCCCGTTGCATACTCCTCGTTTACGTCCCTCGTCAAATTCCTGAAACTGTTGCGCGAGCGATTTACTGATGTCGCTCGCAGTGTCAAGGCCTCAGACAAGCTCCAGACCATCCATTCTCGTAAATGGAAGAGTGCCAGGGCACTCAAGGGTACAATGGATGAGTTGGTCGCCGTCCCTGACCATGGAGTCACAGAGGGCCAGTTAGTCAATCTCTTCTACCGGGCTATGATCGAAGCCTTTCGAGGGCAGTTCTTCGCGAAGAGCGAAGACCCTGCCACCACTTACGATTCCCTTAGCCGTGAGGTGGTGGCTTTGAAGCGAAGTCCGTGTCCCTGTCTACCTTTTGGCACAAGGACTTGGACAGGGGAAAGCAATGGAAAGGCCGCACTATCTCAGGGCAGGTAAAAACCAAGGATAGTCTTGTCCTAACTCTAGACGAGGGTAGTGTGGATGAGATCCCCTACGATCAGATTGAGTGGGGGTTGGAGGAAGAGGACAGCGGTGTGGGCCAGGGGAGGACTTACGCTGCTGTCGCGGCTGGAGGGAGGCCGCAAGGTGGACGAGGCCAGGGCCAAGGGGGCCGGGCCTCAGGGAGCCGGTTTCAGGGCGATCAGGGGGTTGGTGGCAGGGGTCAAGGTCCCCCGCAAAACCGTCCTAGGAATAGGTCTCCCTATAGGGTAGGAGGATGGCACCCAGGGCTACCGCAGGGTAGGGCTTGGGAATCTTTGGGTCTGGACCAGGCTTTATGGCAACAACAATTGGACCGGGGCCAGTGCATTTTCTGCGGTGACCCGGGCCACATCATCAAATATTGTCCTAAGTACAGAGAGACCCGAACGGCTGCCGAAGGGCTAAAAGGCAGCCGCCGGTAGGGGTAGCAACTGCCCCTACCATTAGGCCATGTGGGGAACATAGCGCTAGCCGGCAGGAGACTCCCACACCACATGTGCCTATGGCAGAGGTTGCAGGCCGGTGTCCAGACAGTTGTCCCGAAACTGCTTGTGTTAGAGTTTCGCTAGACACCTCCCTTACAAGCGTGGTCGAAGAATTGAAGGAGAGGATGCCCGCCTGGGCCAAGATGAAGAAGGAGAATAAAGGGCAGCTTATATTGTTAGATACAGAGGTTTTTAGAAGTAGATTTGGGGCCCTAGTAGATTCAGGGGCCACCCGCAGCTATATTAGTAGGAAAGTGATGCAGAAGTTGAAGTTGGGACTTAAAGTCCAAAAGCTAGCAGACCCCATAGTTAGCATCCTCGCAGACAATCTTACTATGGTTGTAGAGGAGTATGTAGAGGGAGTCCAGGCGTATTTCCGCCTAGAGAAGAATGGGAAAGTGGAGAAGGTCCTCCACTCCCTGACTCTCCTCGTAGAAGACAGCCTCCCATTCGACATTGTCCTGGGAATGGATTGGGGAGAGGCAGTCGGGGCCACGCTCCATTTGAAGGAGCACGAGTGTAGGCTCCCTAGTTCTTCAGGCGAGGCTAAGACCGCCCTCCTGTTCCATGTGTCAGGCGTAGAGAATTCCTTGGCACATTGCTGCCTTAGTGCTCCTGCGTTCGCCATATTGGTGAAAAAGGAGAAACTAGAGGAACAGGTTTTCGTTGCCTACGTCAGGCCAGTGACTGAGCCTACGGAAGAGAAGCTGAAGTACCCTGCAATTGCCAAACTGCTGGAAGAGTTTAAGGATTTGACTGAGCCGTCGACAGGCACTGTGTCGCGGCCCATCCAGCACCGTATTGAGATAGAGCCTGGCAGTAGATCTCCTAAGGGTGCAGTGTATAGGATGTCCCCGCGGGAGTTAGAGGAGCTTCGCAAGTAATTGGACGAGCTTCTCGAGAAGGGTTGGATTAGGACCAGTTCGTCTCCTTTCGGAGTGCCTGTCCTCTTTGTTCCTAAGAAAGAGGGAGAGTTGAGAATGGGTATAGACTATAGGGGTCTGAATGCGATTACAGTGAAGAATGCTGAGCCACTGCCTAGGATAGACGATCTTTTAGATCGAGTGCAGGGGGCCAAGTATTTTTCTAAGATAGATTTGAAGTCCGGATATCATCAGATAGAGGTACATCCTGATGATCAGTATAAGACAACTTTCCGGACTAGGTACGGGCATTATGAGTTCATAGTAATGCCCTTCGGACTAACCAATGCGCCAACTACGTTCCAGCGTTGTATGAACGATTTGTTCAGGCCGTGGTTAGATAGATTTGTTGTAGTTTATCTAGATGACATCCTAGTGTTTAGCCGGACCCCTGAAGAGCATCAGGGTCATCTCAGGCAGGTCTTGGAGAAGCTGAGGGAAGCTAACTTCAAGATCAATGCGAAGAAGTGCGATTGGGCGAAGACCCAAGTTTTGTATTTAGGCCACTTCTTAGACAGAGACGGCGTCAAACCAGAGGATAGCAAGATCGCAGCGATTAGAGATTGGCCCACGCCACGTACGCTGACAGAGTTGCGTTCGTTCCTAGGCTTAGCTAATTACTATAGGAAGTTCGTGAGGAACTTCTCTACCATCGCTGCGCCCCTTCGCAAGTTGTTGAGAAAGGAGACCATCTGGAAGTGGGATAAGGACTGCACGTCTGCCATGAAGAAGYTAAAGCAGGCGTTGATAGAATATCCGGTCCTTAAGGTCGCCGATCCGTCCTTGCCTTTTGTCGTTACTACGGATGCTAGCCAGTACGACATAGGCGCAGTGTTGCAGCAAGACGATGGCAATGGTTATAGACCCGTAGAGTTCATGCCTGCTAGAATGCCTTCAGAGAAGGTCGCGACATCCACCTATGAGAGGGAACTCTACGCTCTCAGGCAAGCTTTAGACCACTGGAAGCACTACTTGCTTGGGAGGCACTTCAAAGTCTATTCTGACCATGAAACGTTACGATGGTTAAAGACGCAGGCCAAGATGACACCTAAGCTTACTAGGTGGGCCGCCGAGATAGATCAGTACGACTTCGAGCTCAAGCCTGTCAAGGGGAAGTACAACGTAGTTGCGGATGCTCTGAGTAGGAGGGCAGATTACTTTGGGGTGATAGTGCATTACCTCGATATAGGGAAGGACCTACAGCAGAAGGTTAGGGAGGCCTACGCGCAGGACCCTATCTATAGTGACCTCCTTAAGAAAGTCAAAGAGGCCCCAGAGACTGAGCCGAACTACCGCAGTACTGAAGGGTTACTCTTTGAGAAGATTAGTGTCTTTGACCGCGTGTGCATTCCCAATAGTGAAGAGATCCGTAGCCTGATTCTGGGAGAATGCCATGACACAGAGGGTCACTTTGGTTGGCAAAAGACTTTAGCCAATCTCATGTGCGCGTATACCTGGCCAGGGATGAAGAATGACTGCGTAGAGTATGTTCGCAGTTGCAAAGTCTGCCAGCGGAATAAGAGTTCTACGCGCGCCCCGCTAGGTCTTCTCAGACCCTTGCCCATTCCGGATCAGCCGGGAGACTCAGTGTCGATAGATTTCATGGACACTCACGTCAAGAGCAGGCATGGCAAGAGCCAAGTCATGGTCATAGTTGACTGTTTTAGCAAATACGCAGTTTTTGTTCCTTTGCCTTCAGAGGCACGTACTGATTTAGTCATACAGAGATTCTTTGACTGTTGGGTTAGTGAGAATGGAATCCCGCTATCAATAGTTAGCGATAGAGATAGTCGCTTCACCAGCCAGAACTGGCAAGAACTCATGGGAGTATATGGATCGAAGTTGTTGATGTCGTCTGGCCGCCATCCTGAGACTAACGGTCAGACAGAGCAAATGAACAAGATCCTACAGCAAGTTCTGCGCATGTACATTAGGCCAGATCAGATAAACTGGGATGAGATGCTGCCTAAAGTAGCTAGTGCGTACAATAACAGCGTGCATCTGTCTACATGCCGCACTCCCAACGAACTGCACAAGTCCTTTAGACCACGCAGACCGTTTGAGGGACTCAACCGGGATCAAATTCACAGATTGCCACCCGGGACCAGGGAGTTTGCTGTGCAGCACGAGAAAGAACTAGCTACTGTCGTAGAGAACCTCAGAAAAGCCCAGCATAGGATGATAGAGGAAGCGAACAAACATCGTCGCCCTTCACAGTTTCAAGTAGGCGACTTAGTCTGGGTTAGTTCTAAAGAGTTTGCGCCGGAGGAGAAGATCTCGCAGAAGTTACTGCCCACACATATAGAGGACCGTGGCCTGTTCTGGAAGTCAGGGGCGGCGAAGATGGACCGTCCTATACAATAGAACTACCAGCACACCTCCACACGTATCCAGTTTTCCACGCATCAAAGTTGCTACCTTGTCAAACAAGTGATCAGTTTCCATCCCGTAGATCGATGATCCCACCTGATATGGATGGAAGATATGACATAGATGGTATAGTGGCTGAAGATGTCTTCAGAACTGGAGGTAGGGGTCGTCCGCAGAAACAATACAAAGTTCATTTTAGTTATCAGGAACCGGAAGACGACCGCTGGTTTACAAGATCTGAACTTCTAGAGACAGCTCCCGATATAGTCCGGGCTTACGAAAGACAGCAGAAGGGTAAAGGTCCTGCCTTGGACTGAAATTTTCTCGGAGGACCTCGAATTTAGGCCGGCGGGAGTGAAACGGTATTCACCAGTTCGCAGTAGCGAATGCAGATCCCAGGGCTTGATCCCTAGTTCCCCATCTTACCTGTGTACAGTATTGATGTCAACCCGTAGATTTGAGCCTGCGACCTGTTGAAACGCCAGTGGTAGGTAGATTGTCGTAGGTCACAGCTTAGAAGGGAATTGAACTGTAGACTTCTAGGGTAGGAGTCTAGACAGTTCCGAAGTCGTAGTTGTAGGATGCCTGAAAGGTCAAGGTCGTAGCTGCTACTTACCTGAAGGGGCAAAGTCGTA